TCACAGGCATGTGCCACCATGCCCGGCTAATTTTTGTATTTTTAGTAGAGACAGGGTTTTGCCATGTTGGCCAGGCTGGTCTCGAACTCGTGACCTCAGGTGATCCATGTGCCTCGGCCTCCCAAAGTGTTGGGATTACAGGCGTGAGCCACTGTGCCTGGCCTCTCTTTACTTTTTTAACATAGCTACTAGAGAATTTAAAATTATATATGTGACTTGAAATTTGTGGTTCATATTGTATTTCTACTGGATAGTGCTATTCTAAATTTGAGGTCAGCTGAATTTCTTGGTTAAAAAAAAAAAAAAGCCAGATGGTAAATATTTTAGGTTTTGCCCCTGCAAAACACTTTGAAACAGCCATAGGGACAACACATAACTGAATGAGTATGGCCATGGTCCCATACAACTTTGGTTACAGAAACAGGCGGCTGACTGGACAGGCCCACAGGCCTATAGTTTGCCAACTTCTTTTCTAAATTATCAAGCTTTTTTTTTTTTTTTTTTTTTGAGACTGAGTCTCGCTCTGTCACCCAGGCTTGAGTGCAGTGGCACAATCTCAGCTTACTGCAACCTCTGCCTCCCAGGTTCAAGTGATTCTCATACCTCAGCCTCCCAAGTACCTGGGACTACGGGCGCGCACCACCACGCCCGGGTAATTTTTGTATTTTTAGTAGAGACCAAGTTCCACCATGTTGGCCAGACTGGTCTCGAACTTCTGACCTCAGGGGATCCATCCACCTCGGCCTCCCAAAGTGCTGGGATTACAGCATGAGCCACAGTGCCCAGCCAATTATCAAGCTATTATCCCAGATAGAGTTTTGAAGAACAAAAGGTGACAGAAGATATGCTTTGTTAGGAGTTGTCATATAGGAGAAACGCGGTGAATAGCCCAACAGGGCATCATTTCATATGTGTGTAGTTGATGGGACTTGATTCTGTATTTTTCTAAGGTTCTCTGGTGGAGAGTGTTGACATTTTGCTCTTGTTTCTTTCAGAAAAGATCTAAGTCAGAGGATAACATGAAATTAATCTAGGCAAAGAGATCAGATTTCAAGGACTGAGATGGATTGTTTGACAAGTAGGAGAAGCTTGAATGACAGCTGGAGTACAAGAGAAGAGAAACTTCGGGGTGGGGCAATATTTCCTTAAGCTAATGAAGGTATGTTGGCCCCAAAGAGGGCCTCAAAATCACCCTACGTGGCTTGTGCAGACCATGGTCTAAACCTTTCAAGAAGGTGCTTTGAGGCACCTATGCAATGAAGGAAGCTGGCATCCAGTGGCTTGTAGCAGACCCTGTGGGCAGCTGATTCACCACGAGTCGTGGCTACCTCTGCTATGCACAAAACCAACACTGATTAGCAACACATCACACTCTAAATATTGATTAAGCTGAAGTTGACTTCCTGGCTCAAGTCATGTGTGTGGTTATAAGCTGTTTCCTGCCAGGAAAATAAGGCAATTAACTTGAAGAGTTCCAGCTACAGGCATGACACGTGTCCAGCCTTCATAGGTATTTTCACATGCCAGGTTGCATTAATACAAGCTGAAAATTTATCTGCATATTCCTTTGTTTAGAAATTATGAGTTCAGAGTCTATGTCATTGTTATGTTTCCAGCTTCTAAGATAGAGTCTGACACACAATAAGAATTTGGTAAGTGTTTCTTGCTGAAATAAAAGCACTGGGGCTGGGCGCGGTGGCTCATGCCTGTAATCCCAGCACTCTGGGAGGCTGAGGGGGGCGGATAACCTGAGGTCAGGAGTTTGAGACCAGCCTGGTCAACACGGTGAAACCCAGTCTCTGCTAAAAATACAAAACAAAATTAGCCAGGCGTGGTGGCAGGCACCTGTAATCCCAGCTACTCAGGAAGCTAAAGCAGGAGAATCACTTGAAACCGGGAGGCAGAGGTGGCAGTGAGACGAGATTGCGCCACCGCACTCCAGCCTGGGCAACAGAGCGAGATTCCATCTCAGGGAAAAAAAAAAAGCACTGGGTGTGGGCATTTCTGCCAGATGCCTCAGTGGCCCTGGGGGCACTTGCATATAAACCAAATGACTTGATCAGTTTTGAGTCCCCACTGCCTTCTTCTTATACTCTAAGTTCTCTTGCAAGGGGTCCCCATCGTTTCTCTGTTTTTCTCCCAGCCTCGTTAATTCCTTCCAAATAGCCTTTACCCTTTGGCATATTATTGGTCCCTGGGGGTCAGGGCTTAGCTGGTGAACTGTGAGGTCAGGGAAGGTGGCACCTTGGCACCCACCTTACCCATTTGGGGCAAACTTCTCCCAGCTATTTTGTCCCTCTAGACCTTTCAGACAACTGCCCTACATTCTAGAACCATTTCCATTTCTCCACATCAAAAATACAAATTAATTTTTTAAGATTTCTCATCCCCCGACCCTCTGCTGAGTTCCTGTTTATCTGGCAAGTTCATCCATGTCACTGTGATAATGAAAAAACACTGAGGTAATGTCACGTATCTGTATTTCTATGCCAGCTTTGTGGAGATAATGCCTTAAAAGCACAGTCTAAATGCACCACAACTCTAAGCAAGATATTTGGGATGAAGAGGGGCATCTGTGTCCCTCAAATTATGCCGTTTAGGCAGCTACAATAGATGTTCCACCTTGAAAGCAACATACTGATCCATTTTGCACACAACGGAGCTGGGCCCTGAAAGATGCTTGAGACCTCAAACATGTTTATACCAGATGTGAGCCCTCATCAAAGTCAAATTTGACAATGTCATGCGCAGTCACAAAACATAGATTCTCTTATTTCTGTGTAAATGTGCATGTATTGTAAAATTTTTTTAAAAAAAGAAAGAAATGGGCCAGTTAATGTGTGTTCATGATAGAAGACCCCAAATAGGAGATCTAAATGCATTGAATTCTGCCTGGGAATCCAGAAACAGATGAATTTATGTATCTTCTGGATGGAAAACAAAACTATCAATATGACCTAAACTTCTTTTAGGATGACTGCATTTGATTCCTTTAAGCAAAATCAATAAAAAGAGATGCTGTTCAAATCACCCTCCCTTGTTCCAAAGAGCTGAGAAAACTTGGCTTTGTTCTCCATCTGGTCTCCACTTGGTATTTAAGGAAGGGACAGAGAGATTGGGAAACTTTAAGTCGTTCACATCTTGCTACGAGTTCATTGGCACGTACACGTGTCTGTGGGTGGGTACGATAAGAAAACAATAACTGTTTTTCTCATTCCTGACCATTCTGCCCCATTCTTTTCCTAAGAAAACTGTGGCTCAGGAGGGCTTCCTCTTCAAACTGGCTGGATCACATTTTCCCTAGGTCAAAAAGGTAAGCAAGCGTCTTGCCTTAAAGGGCCTATGTTTGTAATTTCTGCCTACCAGATATAAGCAAAAATTCTGTTTAAGTCAACAAAGCATGCAATTAAGCAAAATGGAAGATGATGTCAATACAAACTTCAAAATCAGCATGTGCTTAGGGAAGCATTTCCCAGTTGAGTATTGTTGCTTCCTAAGCCTGAGAGCTGGCCAGAGCCACACCATCACAGTCATGATCAATAATCCTGGTTGCGTAAGATTCTCCCCCATACTATTTAATATGCTGTTTCTTCCCAGCTCACATCACACCAAGCTACCTAAAGTTGGTTTGCTCTTATTTCATTGAGTACCTACTGTGTACTGGGCACTGGGACAGGTGTGTTAAACCTTTTTTCTCTCTGGCTTCTAACTTCCTCCTCTCACATGGGACCTCATAGACTTCTCCCTTCTAACCCAATCCTCACAACAGCCCACAGCGGGAGACAGCATCCCCACTGACACAGCTGAGGCAATGGAATGCCTTCAGAGAGGGTAAGTAACTTGCCCAAGGTCAACCAGCTACCAAAAAGCAGAACCAAAATTCAAATCCACATCAGCTGACTCCAAAGTCAGTGATGGTGTGCCTCTTGTCTTCTAACAACACCCAAAGATGATGCCCTCAACTCACACCCTTGCCTTTACACACCTGTCACTGCTTTCTGGCTACAGGGTTGGGGAATCTCACAACTTTCCTTATTCTCATCTTAAAAGTGTTGGAGTTAAAATGCCACCATGCTGCCATGCCTTGAGTTTGAAGAAGTTAGATATTGCCTTAACCACAAACACACAAACGCCAGACTCAGCCGGTTCCCCAGTATAACTAAGCCCTTCTCCAGGTAGAGATGGGAAACAAGGCCTGCCAAGGCTGAATCCCATCAACCATTCCTCACGGGCTGCACACGCCTCCTGCCCCTCGACTCCTTTCTCAGGGGAATGGCATGAGCCAATAAACAAGGTAACTGAATTCACTTTAGGCTATTTACGGCCTACTCCAGTCTATCCGTCTTCCCAGAGAATTGCCTGGGTTATTCTCTCCTACCTGTCCTCTAGCTCTGACACTTTTGCCAACAGGCAGCCAGAAGAAATAGAAGGCAAGAGGCCAACACCATGGCTTGGGAAATTTTAGCAGCTCTGGTCAGGATGAATATGGAAGCTATTGGTTGATGTGAGGTTTGGGGATGATCTCTGTTTTCAAATATTCATAATCCCTCTCCCTCAGGCTGGATAATTGCAGATCTCTTTACCTCGTTTTGATCTTCTTATGTCCTGCATTGCACACATAGTGAGGGGTTAATGAATACTCTTAGATGGATGACCGAGGGTATGTGGTCACTTACAGAGAATCCTGTACAAGGCTCTGTCACAGCCACCGTCTGCTAACTGTCCCACATGTGTCTGTGTCGTTTCTTGTTGTTGTTGTTTGTTTTTCCTTTTGAGACAGAGTCTCGCTCTGTCTCCAGGCTGGAGCGCAGCGGCGTGATCTCGGCTCACTGTAACCTCCGCCTCCCAGGTTCAAGCGATTCTCCTGTCTCAGCCTCCCGAGTAGCTGGGATTACAGGTGCACACCACCGCACCCAGCTAGTTTTTGTATTTTTAGTAGAGATGGGGTTTCACCATGTTGGCCAGGATGGTCTCAATCTCCTGACCTCGTGATCCACCTGCCTCGGCCTCCCAAAGTGCTGGGATTACAGGCATGAGCCACCACACCCGGCCTCTGTGCTGTTAATGTCCTCTTAACTTCTTTGCCCTCAGTCTGATTGTCTAACAAGTGCAGATATCCACTCTGAACATTTCATCTCGACAGCTGACATCAATACTGGCCATCCTGAGATTTATCTTTTCATATGAGAAAATATTATACATTGGAGACCAGAGCTTAGAATGGACAAAATTGTCTTCTAGAAGTGCCATTATCACAGATAGGCAGCTGGGGCAGCCTCAGGCTGGTTCTAGCCAAGCTGGAAGAAGGTAAGAGTTAATGGTGTAAGAAAATAGCAAGAGGGCCCGTTGGGCAGGGAAAGTTCTGCGTGGAGCACAGTACTCAGCACCCGCGACCTCAGTGGAAGCAATTTCATTATCCTTTGCTTTCGAGGCCCTCTCCCTCTCTGAGGAGGCTCTCTGCATCTTGACCTTTGGTGACCTCAGAATTTTCTGGCAGCCGCTGGAACCAGGGATCATCTTTTCAGAAATCTGTTTGGCATCGTTCCGTGACTTATCTTTCAGCCCTCATCACCATTATTCATGCTTTGGCAGTATCCTAGCTACAGACACAGTACTCTTCTTGAGCTGACACTGAAGGTTACTCCATCCCAGCCGATGGAGAAGGAAGGCGCCCACTCCTCAGGACCCTGACTCCAGGAAGCATGCTCCCTGTGAGGGCAGGTGCTTAAAGGCATCTATTCAGAAGCTGATCTCAACCTCCAGCCCTTGTGAACAGGCAAATAGGTGAAGATAACACAAAACAGGAACTGGTCCCCAAATCATAGGCAATTTGGCTTTGGAATGCATTCCAAGGCACATTTGCTGTACACTTGTATGCACATTCATCCAAACTCAAATGCTAAACTCCACCAGCTGCCTCTGGACTACATAAAAACCCCAAACCTTTATCTCTTCATTAACGATGGCAAAGATTTTCCGGCTTTACCTTTCTTCCCCACTTTAACATCCTGCTTCTATTCTGTGGCCTGCGCTTCCTGCTTTGTATATTTTAGATTACTTTAGACATAACCTCACATCCTGGCCAATTGCACAGTAGCTGCTAATTGCTAGAGCTTTGCTAATGGCCTGTACATCGATGAAGAATGAGTTACAAGCAGCAAAATCCAGAAGACAATAAGCTAGTGTGGTTTAGAGCTGGGGCTCTGGAGGGAGACAGACTTGGGTTTCAAGCTTAGACTGTGTGGCCTGGGGCAACTAACTTAACCTCTCTGAATCTCTGTTATCTCGTCTAAATGGATATTATAATAGCTCCTACCTCACAGGGTTGTTGCTAAAATAAATACTGGATAATGCCTATAAACGACTTAGCACAATGCAAGCTATTGTTATTACCATGTAGGCTTTCAAATTATGAAGAGCTTTCTTCCTCTAGAGTCTACATATTCCTGAGATCCTGCCGAGCTATTCTGCTCCATCTCTACCCTGCACCTGCCCAGCCCCATTCCCCTGACCAACCACTTCCTCCAGGTAGCATTCCTTGATTGAGCAAAATGCACACAATTATGCATTTGCATTTTCTCTCTATTGTTTTATGTTTTTCAAGGGTTTCATATGGGTATTTACATTTTCCCCAATTCACACACCAAGCTTCTCCAAGATCAACAAGCCTTACCTTCAGTAGTATCTCAGGTAGTACAAACCCAAGAGCAACATCCCTAGTAAACAGCCAGATCTTCAGAACCAAATGTGGAGACTACCTTTTAAGTCGGCCTTTTGCGTCCTTTGCAAAATGGCTCTCTTGTTTATCAAAGTCTCTTTTGTACAGTAAGCGTATCAGAAGTTCATCTGAAGGAAGTATACAGAGGCAGGAAGCACTGACATTTCCCCCCACCATGAGGTCCCCAAATCCATTCCTTCCCCATCTGCCAAGACATTCATCCACGCTCTAGTTATTTTCTACATCACAGTATTTTCTAAAATTACTCTTTCTGGAGCCCTTCCTCACCCCTTCACTATCTCACTTGAGTCTATCCATGGCATCATTTTTCCCCCTGTTCTCTTAATCCCTCTTGGTGCACACAGAACTTTCACATGAGCGATATTTGCTCCATCATCATCCGTCTCTATTCGCAGAGCCCACTTAGGCCCTCAGGCTTTGCTCTCCGGACTCTGACTTCCTGAACTGTGGTGAAGTAGTCCCCCTCCTTGCCAGGTCTTGAGATGTCCATGTGGAACTTTCCGGCCCGGCCCATTTGTACATGAATGTTTCACGCAACACTCTACAACATCACTTCTGCTTCTATGGGTAGCCGGCAGGGCCCTGTGTACAGGCATCATCTGTTTAAACTGAAATCTTGTCATTTGTCATGGCAGTTTTATTTATGATCCTGTGTGCTGTAACCTTGTGGCATAAATATTAAATAATAATATCTCTTGGGTTAAAAAAAAATCATTCATGTTAACTGACAACTTCTTATGAAAATATGAAGTAAGCCCAACCACACAATTTGGTATTGGCTCATTTTGAAATATGAGTAAAAGCACGGATTGCTCAACAGGTAGATGCACAGGCAGAATTATAATTTCCATTTTTACACCTTCTTGCTTCAAGAAATGAAACATTCAAGAAGTAAAAAACGTTAAAAGAAACGGGCTGGGTGGCAAATTTCTTCAGAATCAAATTCTAATTCCTGCCAGTATCTCCTAAGTAGTTTTTAGCTTCCAAAAAGGAAGACGCCAAATAATGACAATGCCACATAAGTGAAATGAATTCCGGACAATGACACTGCTCATTTTTTTTTTTTTTTTTTTTTTTTGGCATTCTGTGAATTTCCTATTACATCAGTTTCATGATTCAGCATTTTCCATTTCATTTATTTACAGTAATATATGGCGAGATAACCCAAGGTTTCTGCAGGATTTTGGAACATAAGGTACGCTGGGCAGGAAGGGTGTCGCCTTCTGTAAATTTACTATTGTTTAGGAGAACTCAAAACAGAAGCAAGTAAGCCATCAAAGGAACTGAGAAAATTTCTCCCCACCTTGTTCTGAGGGCTCTCAACTACTCTGGTATTTAAAATAAATTGGTTTTGAAAAATAGGTTACTGCCCTTTAGTTGATGACTAAAACAAAAGCCAAGAAGTGTGCAAATTGCAAACTGACATGCATGAGCCAAACATATTCTCTGAAATGACAATGTTCAAGACGCAGCTAAAGTCACCACTCTGGCGGTAAGCGTGTTACAGAGAACTAGATTTCTTTCCGGCATCCGCAACTTGGCTGGAGTGACCAAGGAGGAGTTGAAGAGCGCTGGAGATGCGAGGTGCGTTGGCAGAAAACCGTCCGGGCCGGGAGGACCCGGTGGAAACCAAAAGGAGGGTCGAGGCGGGTGGCGGGCGCCGAGAGAAAGAGGCGAAGTTGGGCACGGGAAGGAAAGGAGCTGCGAGTAGATTGAGAGGGAAGCCCAGAAGGGGTGGGGGGTTGCGGGGGTGGGGGGGCTGGAGACCGCGCGCGGCGAGGCGGAGAGCGAACTCCCGGCGGCGAGGCTCTCGGGTGGAGTCCAGGACAAGAAGGAGTCTCGAGGGGAACCCGACCCGGGTCTAGAAAGAGTCCGGGAGGGAGAGGAATGGGCACGAACGAGAGAGCAGCGCGGCAAGTCCGGTCCACGCGCCCCTCTCCACGCCCGGGGTACCCATCCCAGGTGCCGGGAGCGCCCGGGGCGCAGCGGCTAGGAAGAGAGAAAACTAGCAGCGGCGTCCCCGCCCCGCGTGGCGGGTGTCCCCGGCCGCCCCCACCCGCGTCCCCGGGGCCCCGCGCGGAGAGGAGGACCCGGGCAGGGTCCGGCGCTCACCAGGTAGCAGAGGAGGAGCAGCGCGCAGGCAGGGCGGCCGCCGAGGCCCGGGGGGACGCCGCCACTCGGGGGGGCCATGGCTGCGGCCCGGGGGCAGACCGCGGGCGGCGGGGGTTGCTGCTGCTGCCGCCTCGGCCACCCAAACCCCGCGCCGCGCCGCTGCATGGCGAGGCCGCCCGGATCCGGGCCGGAACAGGTCACCTGGTGCAGGGACCGGCCCCCGCCCGAGGCGCCACCTTCCCGCCCGCCCCCGGCCGTGCCGGCCGCCGCGCGCGGGGCCACCTGCCACCACCTCCGGACCCGCCGCCGCCGCCGCCACTGCCGCTCCCGCCGCCGCCGCCCCCGCAGCCCCAGCCGAGCGCCGGCTCCTCCCCGCCTCCCCGTCCCCGTCCCCTCCCTCCCCTCTGCCTCCCTGCCCAGCCCGCCTCCCGGCCGCTCCCTTCGGCCCCCGGGCTTCCACCCCTCCGGGCAGCGGGCGCCCACGCAGGTGGGCACTGACCCGGGTCCCGCCCCTGGCCGCTGCCACCCCCCGCCCGGGTGGCTGGGCCCCGGCGCACCCCCCTTTCCCTTTCTCTCCGCTCCTCCCCCGCCCCCCTTCCGCGCTCCTGCTCTCCGCGATCCCCCTCCTCTCCCTCCGGCTCCCTCTTCCCTTTCGCCTCCTGCTCCCAAACCCCCTCTCTTTTTCACTTTCTCCTTTTCCTCCCTTTCCTCTTTCTCCCTTCCCATCCTCTTCCTCGCTCCCGCATTCTCTTTCTCCCTCCCACCCTTTTGCTGGTCGCACAGCCCAGTTCCCGCCCGTGCAATGGGTTTTTGTCTGGTTGCTTTTTTGGCCGGGGCGCCATTCCCGCAGGGCGCAGGGCGAGTGTGCCCCCTGGAGTTGTGCTGCGCAGCTGCCCGGCTCCCAGGCCTTCAGGATGGATTTTGACCCCTGCCAACCTCCACCTGTCCACCTGCGGGGTTGGGACCGCCTCCTTCCTGGCACGTTTGCAGCCCGGCTGCGCCCCACCCTGCCGGCTGGTTCGAGGCACGTTCTGGATGTTTCCCGAGGGTTTTGTGTGGTGCCGCCGCTGCCGCCACCACTGCGCTCTTTGTTTTAATTGTCCAGAGTATTGGCACCCAGGACGGGTTTGTATTTGATTTGCATCCCTGTGCTCCAGCTTCCACTTTGGACAGAAAAGAAAATGAATTAATTAGGTCAATACAGTAATACTGGAGCCCCAAATAAAAGGGGTGAGGCCCTAGAAGTGCGCAAACAGCTTTTTAAAAAACCAGGACACATCCTCGGCCTTGGGGACGCAGGTTGAGACTGGCTGCTCGCCTACCCGGGTTTGCGGCCTGGCGGAGAGGGACCGCCGGCCGGCGGGACCACCAGCTTGCCGCCGGCTTTGGCGTTCAGGGAAGCGCTTGGCTGTGTCTAGCGGCTCCGACAACTATCTGGGCCCGCAGCTGCTGCTCTGAAACAGTTAATCCACCTTCCAAAGTTCGCAGAAGCTTTCCTTTGGCACTGGTAGATTTGTGCGGATTGGAACAATAGCCTGGGAGCCTGAGAGGCCACAGCCCTTTCCCTGTGCCACGAGCATAGGTCAAGTCACAACAGACGTCGGGGAGAGGCTAGTGGTGAGACAGGGTGCCCAGGGTGGTTTGACGGGCGTGGGCATCCCCTGTGCCTGGATGTACCCTCAGCTGCTCAGTACAGGCCTGGTCATACCGGGCATGGCGGCTCCTCAGCTGTCATCCACTTTTTTTTAGGTCACCTAAGAGCTGTGGACCTATGTGAGTCCCCTGGCCTTATTCCGCCTTATTCCGCCGGTTCTCAAACTTCAGAATTGCCTGGAGGGATTGTTAAAACACAGATTCCTGGACTCCAGCCCTAGAATTTCTGACTCAGTTGGTCCTGGGAGGGACTTCAGAATGTACCTTTCTAACAAGCTCCCGGGTGATGCTTACGCGCTGGTTCAAACAACCCTCCTCCATTTCCAGAACTATTGGCTTTTAGGAAACTGGGCTCCTGCTCCTCCCAGCCAGCTGCCACCACATTAAAGCATTTTGGGGGTTTTGACAGACGTTCCCACTATCTCTGTTCCACTTCAGCAGAAACAAAGCACTTAACATTCTCTTGTGTGACATGGAAAACCATTTATTCTATCGAGTGTCCAAGGGAACAAAAGATTTGGTGGCTTTGTCCCAGATCCTGTCTATATCTTCTCCATCAGGTCAAAATACAGACTATACTTTTAATGTATGTGGAAGGAAAATTGTCGGCCAGTTCAGGGGGAAAGGGGCTTCAACAGGCATTGCAGCATTTCTAGGGTTGCCACCTGTCTTCCTGGGCCACTGTCCGGAGTTTCTCTCCTCCCACATTGCACATAGACTCTGTTGGGCTTCAGGGAGCCAAAGGGTCCCTTCTGGTTGTTTGCAATCAGGATTCATGGAATTGGGAGTTTTCAAGGCTTTGTGAACTTTGAGGGTTTGGGTTTACCTAAGTGTAGGTAACAGAGCGCCCCACTGGGGGCTGGGCTGATTCTAACCTGCCATATCCAACCGCTCACTTCTCCCTTCTTACTCATCCCCTATTGTGTTCCTACTGTGGATTAGGTACCACCAGAGGCCCCAGGATTCCAGAGGTAAGCAGAATGGCTCTATTTCTGCCAGGAGCATCGGGCATGCGGAAAACCTGCCAGAGTTTGGTCTTCTAAGAGGTGTGTGTGAGTTGCTCTCTCATCCTGGGCTAGAGCTGATGGGATTCACTGTTTCATCCTGTATTGGAGAAGGGGAGAGAAAACGTCAGGATTTCTTTTCACGGGGGAGTGGGACATTTTGATCCAGAAGACAGAATCAGCCCTCACTCTTGTGTCTTTCCAGCAGTTTGTGTCAGTCATTGAGAGGGCGGTGTCTGATTTCAGAAGAAAGCCCTTTATTTAAAAAGAAATATATTTTCCCATTGTCCCATGGAAGGGTTTGAAATCTCACCATTACAATTCATCGGGTTAAATTAAATTTTAATACTCCACTAAAAGTTGAAGGCCCCAGGGGGAGATTGGCCTCCCTTATTACTGCCTTGGTGTGAGTCAGTTTATCACATGCCCTTGGAAAAGGACCAATTCCACACCTCAACACGGGAAAGGACAAAGGCACAGAGTCCTGAGCTCATCACCGCCCGCCCCTAGGAGGAGACTCCAGAGGCCTGGAGGGAGGGGCTGGAGAAAGCACTGCATCTGCATGCCCAGGCGGCACATCATAGCATTCCAGGCGAGGTGTTCTGAGGCTCTGAAATTTTTTTTTTCTTTTTCTTTTTTTTTTTTTTTTTTTTGTTGAGACGGAGTCTCACTCTGTTGCCCAGGCTGGAGTGCAGTGGCGTGATCTCTGCTCACTGCAACCTCCACTCCCTGGGTTTGATTCTCCCACCTCAAGCCTCTTGAGTAGCTGGGATTACAGGCACCTGCCACTATGTCCAGCTAATTTTTGTATTTTTAGTAGAGACAGGGGTTTCACCATGTTGGTCAGGTTGGTCTTGAACTCCTGACCTCGTGATCCACCCACCTAGGCCTCCCAAAGTGCTGGGATTACAGGTGTGAGCCACAGTGCCCGGCCCAAAATGGTTTAAGATCAGTCACGTCTCAGGGACCAATGCACTTGGTCAACGATTGATTACCTTACTGAGCAAAAATAGTTTTTATAAACCAACTGCATATACTATCTTCTGTCAGTATCATTTCACTAAAAAGACAAGGCCTTTTACTATCAAAAAATTACGAAGAGCCTAACATTCTAAGAAAAGACTGGGTTGGGTGCCACGGCTCATACTTGTAATCTCAGCACTTCGGGAGGCCAACGCAAGTAGATCACTTGAGCCCAGAAGTTCGTGACCAGCCTGATCAACATGGTGAAACCCTGTCTCTACTAAAAATACAAAAATTAGCCAGGTGTAGTGGTGTGTGCCTGCAGTCCCAGCTACTCAGGAAGCTGAGGTGGGAGGATCACTTGAGCTCAGGAGGTCAAGGCTGTACTGAGCTCTAATCACACAATTGCACTCTAGCCTGGGCGACAGAGTGAGACCTTGTCTTAAAAAAAAAAAAAAATGCTGTTCTTTAATCTGAATATTTTACTTCTGTCTTGTCTTTATGTGTTGTTGCATTTTGCTGTGGATCAGTAAAAACTTAGCTTTGGAGTGGCTCTGTCCGTGTCGGCACTTGGAAACCCCATTTCTATATGCTAAGGATGTCTGGGGCAAAGAGATCTGCCCCTGCAGAGACAAATGACCTCCGGATTACAGGAGGTGGGTAGGAAGGCATTTTGCAGGAGTAGAGAGTGTTCCTTCCATCCACTTACCCTCCCACGTAAATCTCTGAGACCCAGGCAAATGCTGCCAGTTTCAGGGAATCTTCCCTCATGGCCTCAGGTCAAAACGCAAATGGGTCGGTTCTCTGTGCCCCCACCAGGCTTTGCCTGTTACCCTAAGTGGCCATTGGCTAACTCTCCCTTATATTGGGTATGTATGTTAGTTGGCCTGTTCTCCTCCAGTAGACTATATGCTCCCTGAAAGCAGGGGTTGCTTCTTAACCATTTCTCTGTACCCCCATGCCTTGTACATAGAACATTCTTGAACATATTCACTGAATAAAGTTGAATCCAACATCTTCCTTTTTCATTTTTTCCTCTCTTTCTTCCTCCCTCCCTTCCTTCTTTTCCTTTTTAATTCATTGTTGTCTCCCCAGTCTCTTCCCATTAGAACATGGCTATTTCCACACTCAAGTTTCTCTGTAATTCTGCAGTCTTCTCCTTTCTTCCCCCTCCCTCCTTCCTGTAATTTCAGTTATTCAGAATGAAAATGAATGAACCGTGACATTTGCCTTTTATATCAAAATAAAAAAGAAGAAAACAAAAATAGAAGAGAGTAAAGCAAAAATAGAAGATTGCTGTCAGGCAACACACTCCCCATCCCAATAGAAATACCATGGCCTTTCTTTCTGCCAAAGGTGACCTCTGGGATCTAGACAAATCCTGCATGCCATTGTTTTATGGGCAGCATTTTCTTGTGGCCCCCAGCCATTACCTTCCCTAAATCTATTTCCTGTCTCTGTTTCTCCTTGTTTCAAATTCTCCATGTTTAACAGTTACTTCTTGCTTCTTCCTTCCGTAGAACATCCCATCAGATACCATCCTCATCTCCTGATCCTCAGATCTCATCCTTTGAGCCTCAAATCCCTGACTCTGCAGACTCTCTTCCTATGGGCCACAGAGCCCTTGCCTTGGGAAGTTGTGGTAAAGGAGGAAAAGGAAGCATTTGTGTAAACTGAAAGCTTTTCCGTGTATTTTTATGGGATGCTGAAGGTCTTGGAATCACTCGGTCTGTAGCCCTGGCATGCTCCAAAATGAGCTCTATTTCTGGGCCTGTCAGATGAAATGCTGTTGCTCCTAGTTATTTTTGGCTCTTTGCCCTTCTGAATAGGTGCATATTCAGCTCAATTCTTCCCCCCACCCTGAGCTGGGGGAAAAAGCAGGCAGCTTCCCTTAGCCAAGCCCTCCCCTGTGTCAGGAGCACTTTCGCCCTTAAGCAGCAGCTACTGACATAAGCTCTCTGGACAGCCCATGACTTACTTGTGCAGTGTCCAGGTGGGCAGCAGAGAAATCCATTCTCTGGCCCTCTTGGGCCATTAAGGGAAAGCTTTGTGAGCTGAACATTTCCAGGCAGGTGCAACCAGATGTCCAGGGCCTCCTTATTCATACCAGGTCTGCATCCTGCCCCACCACCATAGTTGCAGAAACTTCTGCCATCCTTGGGGGTATTGGGATAAGAAGCAGGGATTTCAGGCTCAGTGAGCACAGAAGTCCCTGTGTACTGGGTGTTTGGGGAAGGAAAGTGCACAGGATGTAGAAGATCAAGGGCATGTGTCCATAGATGTAAGGACATCTTTGGGACCAGGTGCAATGGCTCACGCCTGTAATCCCTACACCTTGGGAGGCTGAGGCAGGTGGATCACGAGGTCAGGAGTTTGAGACCAGCCTGGTCAGCATGGTGAAACCTCGTATCTACTAAAAATACAAAAAATTAACTGGGAATGGTGGCATGAACTTGTGGTCCCAGCTACTCGGGAGGCTGAGGCAGGAGAATTGCTTGAACCCAGCAGGTGGAGGTTACAGTGAGCCGAGATCGTGCCACTGCACTCCAGCCTGGGTGACAGAGCGAGACTCTGGGAAAAAAAAAAAAAAGAAAGATGTAAGAACATCTTTGATCTTTGATCTTCGAGTGAGCGTGTTGAGAAGAACATGCGTTTGATAAATGAATAGAGTAGAGAAAAGTTAAGGGTGAATGTCCAGATCCAGTTGGGACAATGAGTAACAGAAGAGTGAATGGGCACCAAGGGAGAGAATGTCACTATAAATAATTGAAAAGAGAGTGAGTGCACATGAGAGCTTGGGGAAAGGCAGGTTGTGCCTATAATTCATAGGCATATTTTATAACTGCATCCTGCAGCTCCAATCGCAATCTTGGGTAGGCATTAACATTGATTTAAGGCTTTTAGTCCACCTGATAATATGTAATATCAAGCACAATGAAACGTCATGATCAGCTGTGATGCTTAGTAAAGTCCATATAAAATCAAGAAACACACAGAGAAGAGGCAGCTAGAACGGGGTCCTTTTAATAGCCATTTATCTCTACAGCTTTTCATGGAGAGGTTTCTTTTTCAGTTCTTATCAAGTATTACTTTGAGGCCTTCGTTCATGTAATTCTCTTGGCAACCCGGAGAGGTAGACACTGTTACTATCATCAGCCTCCTTTTACAAATGAAGAAACAGAGACATAGGAAAGATCCCAGGTCCACAGCCAGGCGGTGGCAGAGCCAGTTTGGATTCTGGTAATTTTGCTCAAGGACTAGTGCCCACGTCACTACACCAAACTCTTGCTATGAAGGGCCAATGGAGAGGCAACCAGGTGCATGCTGGGGAAAAGAGGTCACATCTGGGTTTTAGGTTTAGGCCTCTGCCAGCACTTCACCAGGTGCTTGAGAACATAGATTTCTATGTCAGACACATTTGTCCAGGGCAACCCACCTCCTCATAGCTGGGCTAGCTTGGGAAGATCACTAATCCTCAGGCCTCAGTCTCTGTGTCTGTAAAAATGGGACAAAGTGAATCTACCTGTTTACACAGTGTTGTGAAGGCCAGGTAAGGTAGCATAGTGAGGGTGGTGGTAAATTGTTGAGCCTTAGACAAGAGTAAAGCATTGTGTGTGTATTATTCATACTTGCTAACTTCCAAAAAAGGCCCACAAGGAAAGATATAGCTCTTATAAGACCATGAAAAATTTTAAAAAGATTTATAAATACCTGTGGTGATATGTGTCTAATGATGACCCCACTCGTGAACCACAACTCCCATTATGACCCCAAGGGAAGTGTTTCCCCAGTTCTTCCCCCCGGAAGTCAGCCACCATACAGCTACCAGCACGTTGTGAGAGGGCCTAAGCTAGCCACATGGATGGAGAGAGAGGTGCTCAGTCAGCCTCCAACCATCCGGGTCAGCCCAGCCCAAACGTGAATGAGCAAACCATCTTGAACATCTGTCCCCGTTGATTCTTCAGATGACTTCAACCCTAGCCACCATCCCACTGAAACTGCATGAGAATTTGCAAGCAAGAAGTGCCCAGCTGAGTCCTGTCAGCTTACGGAACCATGGAAGATAAAAATAAAGTGTTGTTTTGAGCCAGTAAGTTTGAGGGTAGCTTGTTTATAGCAATAGATAACAAACAGTGCCCTGAGTGTTTAACGGGACAGTATAATCAGCTCTGAGCTTCTTACCATTCAAAGCAAAAAGGGAAGCAGAATGGATTAAGGCATTTATTATCTTGAGATTCTGTGATTTACCTTAATGCAGGGTTCATCCAACTGTCTCTTTGCAGTCAAATCAGAATGAAAATTGAACTGTCTTCCTTCCATGAGAATTTCTCCTATCTTCACCAAAACTATTTGTGCAAATTCTATAATCCACCTTGCCAGAGCAAAACAAATAATTACAGCTATCACTAATAAGAAAACGTCCCTTGTATCTGGACCAAATCTTTCAAAACTCCAGGTCAAGCCCATTTTCTCCTGTTTGGTTCTCAGCACATCTTCTCCTCTTGCCTCATTCCCATCCCAAATTAAGTCGCAAACGGGCTCGGTGACTCCGGGGTCCTTAGCAGTCAGAATTAATGATTAAAATAGAAATGCTGAAAATAGTTGAAACCGAAGCAGATTGGATGATTTATTCAAACCTTCAGGAAAAATTACTATTCAGGCCAGAATTGAAATTTAGACCTGTGGTTCATAACCAATTAGAATGCAACTCTTCCCTGATGCTACCCACTCCTCGCCACCCCGCAAAAAAGGAAAAAACTAGATAAAATTCATGCATGACTGTCCGAGTGTCCTTTAGAACCCGCACTCTGAGATGTCAGGAACCTTGTCTGTCTTCTGTGTAGTGTGGTGTTTATGCATTACTGGTGCTTATTAAAGCTTTTTTCATTAACAGCACCTTCACAGTCTATGATAATAAAAGACATAAAAATGAGTGAATCAGTGATTCCCATTCTCTCCAGTGTGGCATCAATAAGCAGGCAAGGCTGGTCTCATTCTAGGACGTCTAAGTTGTCACGTGGGGTATTTACGGTCACCTCCCTCACTTGGGACCCACAGTGGGCACAGGCAACTCTTTGAAGGTAATGAAATTTGTCTTTCATGACTTGACCTCATTTTCTATACTCTTTCTCCCTCATTAGTCTTCACCCCTAAATTGGGCTTTGGAGGCTTCTATGCTGAGAGTCTGCGGGTAGCCTGATCTTTGGGAGACAGGGCCAGACTCAAATCCCAGCTGAGTTCCTTCGCCTACATTTACATAAACACTTTCCAGTCATCAAGACATTTCACATTTCAGTTCATGTTTGCAACAGTTCTGTGAAGGAGGCTGTTATGGGTTGAACTGTGTTCCCTAAGGATATGTCGGAGTCCTAATCCTCAATACTTGTGAATGTGACTTTATTTAGAAATAGGGTTCATACAGGTGTCATTAAGTTAAGATAAAGTCAGAAGGTGGGCCGAGCATGGTGGCTCACGCCTGTAATCCCAGCACTTTGGGAGGCTGAGGCGGGTGGATCACTTAAGGTCAGGAGTTTAAGACCAGCCTGACCAACACGGTGAAACCCGTTTCTACTAAAAATACAAAATTTAGCCAGGCGTGGTGGCACATGCCTGTAATCCCAGCTATTTGGGAAACTGAGGCCAGAGAAGCACTTGAACCTGGAAGGCAGAGGTTGCAGTGAGCTGAGATCGCACCACTGCACTCCAGCCTGGGTGAAAGAGCAAGACTCTGTCTCAGGAAAAAAAAAAAAAAAAAAGGCATAAGGTGAACCCTCATGCAATATGACTGGTATCTTTATAAGAAGATGGAAATTTGGGGCCGGGCATGGTGGCTTATGCCTATAATCCCAACATTTTGGGAGGCCGAGGCGGGTGTATCACTTGAGGTCAGGAGTTGGAGACCAGCCTGGCCAACATGGTGAAACCTTGTCTCTACTAAAAATACAAAAATTAACCGGTATAGTCGCATGTGCCTGTAATCCCAGGTACTCGGGAGGCTGAGGCAGAGGTTGCAGTGAGCCAAAATTGTGCCACTTCACTCCAGCCTGGGTGACAAAGTGAGACTCTGTCTCAAAAAAAAAAAAAAAAAAGAAGAAGAAGAAGAAGAAGGAGGAGGAGGAGGAGGAAATGTGGACGATGTGGATGTGGACATAGACACATACACAGGGTATGACAGTGTGAAGAGCCAGAGAAAAGATGGCCATAGGAGGCAGAGACTGGAGCCAGGATGCCACAAGCCAAGGTGTGCTTGGGGCAACCAGAACCTGGAAAAGGCAGAAGGATGCTCCTCTCAAGGTTTCAGAGGGAGCATGGCCTTGCCAGTACCTCAGTGTTGGGCTCCTACCTTTCAGAACTGAGACAATACATTTCCTCGTTTCAAACTGCCCAGTGTGTGCTCATTTTTCCCAGTAGTCCCAGAAAACGAATACATAGATAGTTGTTATTTTCCCGTCCTTTTCCATCTAATGTTATTGGGCCCCTATTGTGTTCCAGGCTCTGTGCTGAACTCTGGAGCCTAGACCCAAGGCTACAGGCTGATATAAAGCATCTCAAAGTTCCCAAGCTTCTTACAAAATTTCCGTGCTCATTCTGTTGTGTCTCAGGCTCCCACCGTCCTCACATCCAGGCGCCCCCCGACCCATCACCATGGTTGTATCTGTGCCCCTTCCCACAACTATCAGAGATACACAGTGCTGGGAACGGAAGTGACGTTGAACATCTGCTGATCGAACGCCCTGGTTTCCTGGTGTGCACGCTGAGGTTCAGAGGAGTGGGGTAGCCAGTAGAAAGGCAGCCTTGCACTCAAGTACATCTTTCCACTCCCTGCCTCTGATCAATGCATGTTATATGTCAATCCAACAAACAACAAATATTTGTACTAAATTACTGATGACTGGTAAGCATGACGTATTGTACCTCCCAGAGGTATTTGAATGTGGAACAACGGCTTAACTCAGAGAAGTGAATGTCTAATAGTGGAATGTGGTGCTGCAGGTGGGGTGGGCATGGCAGGGCAGGGAGATTTGAGAGCAAGTGTAGGGTCTTTAGCTCACCGTTTATCTCATATCCCTAGAGCGACTTCTGTGTCTGCTAAGTATAGGACTGGCTACCCTGGAGAATTGTGGAAGTGGGCCAAGGAGGGACTTGCCCGCTTCTGTACTTTGAGAGGCCATGCAGGCTGTGACCAATGGCCTCCTGGGTGCAGAAGGAAGCACTGGCCTCATGACTTGCAGGTATCACGACTGCTGTTTTAAACTCCAATACTGCTGAACCTTTCAGAAATAGATCCATTATAGGTCTGCTTTAGCCCCAGGGCTTTCACACAGGTCACTAGAAAATCCAAGATTGCACAGTAATT